CATGCCCGGAAGGGCCTCCATGTCAGATTTCATCGTTCTCGACAGACTTCTGCCGTCACGGTTGTCCGCGTCGCCGCGCCAGTGCGGCCAGCGCCGAGACCGCCTTCGCGGCCGCGTTAACCGAAATGCTGGGCTCTTAAGTTTTGAAACCCAAACCCTGTCGTCCTGGTCGACCACGCGGCCGCGGTAGCTAGCGCGCGCCATGCTCCAATTCGTCTGCTATCTAAATCTTTCAAGTGAAGCAAGGCGTGCGTTGGAGCGCCTGACGCCATGGAGGCTCTTCCAAGCGACGTCGCTCAGACAATTCTCCACAAGCTAGCAGCGCAGGACCCCCCCTCCTTGCTAACACTGACCTGCGCAAGCGCATCTTTCTACAGGGAGGCCGAGCAAAGTCCTGAGATCTGGAAAGAAGCGTGGTTGGCACCATTGCATCAGCCTCACTCTGAGCACAGCAAACTGGCGCTTGGAAAAGAGCTGAGCGCAAAGCTGGACTCAGAGATTCTTGCGTTGGGGGGATATAAGAAGCTGGTGATAGCCCGCTGGGCGAGGGTTGCCCAAGGACACAAGATTTCCTCCGATGAAGAGTTTGATGACGCTTACTGTGACATCGCCAACCCTCCCCGTTGGAGCAAGTCAACCGGAGAGAAGGAGTACACCAGCTCTAGAACTCGATACTTGGTTCTTATCAGGGTGGAGGGAAGCCTTCTTCTCTGGGGGCTCTACAAAGCAGAAGCTTTGGGCCCTCCCCGCGGGACCTGTCATTGTAAGCCAGGTGCTGAAGAAAGAGATACCCTGTCTCTCAGCTTCTATGACCGACGATTACCAAGCCTCCCAGATCCTTCTATCGCAAGGTTGACGATCCGAGCAAGCAGATTCGAGCCAGTTTACGTGGATGTCCCTGTTGACAAGATCCAAGAGCACTGGAGAGAATCTTATGGACTTGTGAGTAGATTCGGAGGAACAAACTTGGAATTCCAAGAGCTGGTGGCCAGCATGGAAATTTATGCATGCCTGGATGAGCGCACCGATCCAAAGAAACTGCCGCCAACAAGAAAGGGCAAGACCTGGGAGTGCTTCCTTTTCCTCCGGCACCCTTCGGATCCTTCTCAAGGGTATCACTACCTTGATTGTGGATTCGGCGGAAGATTCTATGTCTTCGTCAAAGATGATCAAGAGGGGGACATCCAGGATTCGCAGTCTTCGCTGTTACTGCACATGGCGCAGGCAGCTGTGAGCTTCGTTTCAGAAGTCAATGAGAAGCTTTGTCAGGCGGGAACCTGGATTGCGGACCTGTTTGATTGAATCGTACTAAGGACGTTTGTATTGGGTCAGGTAGCTTCTAGAAGACGAAGACGAAATAGTTTTCAGAACACGAGCTACTGGCAGAAACAAATCGCTGAAGAAAATTGAGAGGAGGAAGGATATGAACAATAGATGTCTAAGTTGCTTTCGTGCGAAGGCAACCGCTTTGTGAAGCTGAATGACTGGCACGGTAACGATGGCTCACTGCGGTCTTATCGTTCATCATGAGAAGATTTTATACGAGATCCTCAGGCTACCTACTGGCGAGCGAATGGACGAGGGATTGACCAGGACAACACCGGTTGTGATGTGCGCGCCTATCTCTGATTAATATCTGCTGCATGAGTCGCTTTTCTGTAGCATGTATATGTGACACACGGGAATGGTCTCGCTCACTCTTGTGAGGCTGTAGCCTGTCTGAATATCACGAGGAGCGAATGGGTATCTGACATCCGTGAGGCAATGATCAGTGCCTTTCACATGCTTAGACTTGGTACGAGAGCTCCGTGATTCGCGCCGTTCTGAGGTGCTGAAGTTTGAAGTATCTACATCTGCGCGCCACCACATCAACGAAACGTACTGAGCGTCGGTAGTCCTTTTGCAGTGCATATACTCTTCAGTTATTGGAAGCTGTGGAAAAGGATGGACTTGGGTACATAAAAGGCGACTTCATTTGGTGGGCACGTTCCAGACTGTGCTATGCTGCCTGAATTGCATAATTGTCTTATGCTACCCTGATTTGTCTTCTAGCAAAACTTTCGATACATATTTAGCAGGCGCATGATGAAGCGAAGGATTCGGCAGGGGCGCAGGTTATGTACGGGACATTCATTAAAAGTGCTTGGCGACCTTCGATACATCCGCTAGAGGGACCATTGCCAATTTGTATCTACATATGTGGGGCCAGCAAAAGTCTGGAGAGCAGTATACTGGAATCCCAATGATTATAAAGCATCTGAACCAGATCTGGCATGCTTAAAAAGCAAACTTTCAGGCGCGTAAGGAGCTACCCAAACTTTGAAGGCCTTGTGGACAGAGAAGCGGGTCGTTGTGTACTCGTAACATCAACTACATATATAGTTCGGGGCCGCAAGAATCATCAGAAGGATGCCTTGCCGGTTCGTCTCTTCGTAACGTTTACTGAGGGAAGACGTTGACTTGACCAACCAGACTTGATCAATAGCTGGTACCGCGAACTACTCTAGCATTTGCTGCTTGATCTCGAACTTTGCAAGGCGCGCTCGTCCTCGTGGGCTCAGTTTCCGCAAATCTTCGTCCCTCTCCTCTCTCAGGCTCCACGAAAAGGACCAACCTGGGACAGAACGATAGTTGAACCCCAAAATGGAGTAAACCCCGTCCTGATCTTCTGTGACCTGAGGCTTTGGAGGCTCCGCGTTGACATGCCCATATATTGCGTCGTCTTTCTTACCACGCATGACGTCCAATGGACGGAAGAATCCCTGAAAAGCATGGTTGCCTTCGGAAGTAGGCGCCCCTCCAATCACCACTTTCTCAAGGTCGTTTTTCTTCGGCGTGTAAGCGTACAGTTCAACGGAAAGGTCCGCCTTGAACCCTTCTGTTACATAGCAACTTTTGTTCAAAGGATAAACTCCTTCCCGAGCTTCCCTCAATGTCTTTTCCAGAGAGATATTAGCAGGATAAAGCTTTTCGAGTTGAAGGCGTAACCAACCCCTATAACTCCGCCACCGGTCTTTAGCAGACGCCAGTCTTTGTTGCTTGTCAGAGAGACCCCACAAGAGCAGCCTCCCTTTCAGCCGCACCAGGACTACAAACCTTCCGGGGAACATGTTCGACTCAAAGCTGCAACCTGGAGCATCCAAAGGGTTGCTTCGTCCCTTCACGGTTCTTTTGGGTTTGTTCTGGTCACGCCCTAAACCTACACAAACACGCAGCCTTGTTAGCAACAAGGTCTTGTAACCTCCCAAAATTTCTACTTCTGCATCCAACTTGGAGCAAGCCTCCGGTTCATGTTTGAAATCCGTCCCATAAAATGCTACTTTCCAGATGCTAGGGGTTTCTTCTCCGGCGCGGTAAAAGGACGCCGATGCACACGTGGCGCGCACCAGGGAAAGCGGGTCCTGACCAGCGAGCTTGTGAAGAAGCACCACAACAACGTCACCTGGAAGAGCCTCCATGTCGGCCTTTGAGTCTAACGTCGTGTTCTGGTCTGAGTCCAAATGATTCCTGCCTTGTAGTTGCTTCTAGTCTATAATCCGTTTCGCGTCGACGCAACGATCGGCCGCCAGCCAGCGTCAATCGCGCCGACCACCCCTCCGCGGCCGCGTTGACGCGAGGAACTTGATGAAAACCTCTTTGAAAACATCTCGTGCGCACGCGCGCGCGGTCGACCGGCCTCTAAATCTTGAAACCCTCGATTCACGACCGATCACGCGGCCGAGATTGCGCGCGCTGCGGCCATGACATGCGCATATCAAAGGGCTACCTGTAAGCAGAGGAAACTTCAACTTCAAGTGAAAGAAAGGCGTGCGCTGGACCGCCTAGAGCCATGAAGGATCTTCCGGGCAACGTGGCGCGGATCATTCTCCGCAAGCTGGCAGTCCAGGACCCCCCCTCCTTGTTATCACTGACTTCTGCAGATGCATCTTCTTACAGAGAGGCCAAGCAGAGTCCTGGGATCTGGAAGGAGGCGTGGTATTCATCAGCTGATCAGCAAAGCTCCGAGGTCTGGAAGAAAGGGTGGTCCCCACCCGAGGATAATGAGTTTGAATTCAGGGACGTCATGAACCCGTCACTTTGGTGGAAAGAGATGAGCGCGAAGCTGGACTCTGAGATCCTGGCGCTAGGAGGCTTAGGGTACAAGAAGTTGGTGATCGCTCGCTGGGCGAGAACTCCCAAAAAGAAAGTCTCTACTCCCGGTGGAGACCAGGGAAACACTCTTGAACACCTCAAGATTCCTGTTGGCAGACTTGCAAACAAACAGTTGGAATACAGCAGCTCCACAAGCAGATACCTGATGCCCCTCAAGGTAAAGGGGGGGTTCTTCCTTTGGGGGGCCTAGAACTGCCTAGAATCACAAAAACACCGAGATACGAGTTGGGTTAATCTAGGGGCCTGAGAAAAGGTACAAGAAACGGAACAGCTTCTGAACAGCCACCAGCATCATCAGCAATCGCCTTTCATGTACTAGGTTGTTAAAACAAGCAAGCCGTTCGGAGCCAGCTTACTACCTGGATCGCCGTTTCGACAAGAGAGACAACACTGGAGCAAGGTTGGAAAAGTCGAAGAGGATCCGGACGGGAAGGAACACGAGGATTCCAAAGGCCATGGCCAGTATCGTATTCTAAGCAACACAGAGTGAGAGAACGAATCCGACAAAGCTTTCGCTGAGTAGGAAAGGCAAGGCCGGGATTGCGCACTGCTGCGCCGTCCCCATTCTGAAGCGTATTCTACTATTGTCGCCGTCGACTGGATTCAAGTCTTACTGGAAGTTTGTATGCCATGGTGACAAAGATTTTTGAGAGTGTTCTCAGTCATCAAAGAAAACCTCTGTGGGCGAGAGCCTCGGTTGCGGACCTGTTAGGCTGAATGCTCCGGCAGATGTATACATCATCTTGCCAGGCTTGTACATGAAAAAGTGGATTTCATTGTAAAATATTGGCTGAAGGGAACCGCTTTAAAGAGTCAATCGGAGGAAGGATCAAAGGCTAAAAGGTTGCTTACAAGTCTGCAAGCTTTTCGTCAAGAGAAAGTGGGACGAGGTTGAAATAGTCTTTTCCGGATCTCTCCTCTATCCACTCTGCTTCGAACAGATTGCAGACGGGCTTCTTATTCTGTCTACCTACTTGTGACAGCTGGCGAACCCAATAAACGAGGCTCTTGGTGAAAGCAGAAACCGTTCATATGCGCGCATTGATCTCACTTCCTATATACGCGGACTTGCCCCATAAGCTGTACCTTGCATGGGCGTAGCGATGCAGGACTGAATAAATTCTCATAGTGTCGAGGATATTTTCACTCTGAAATTGATGTGAGGCGATCAAGTAATTTGCATCGGCCAGCTGCCAAAGCTGCTTTGCTGACTCTCTTGAGGAGTCTCATGTTCCTCGGCTCCCCTGAGGAGCTGAACGGTTGAAATCAGATCCTTTCCATATACCATCAGGTCGAAATATATAATAGTTAGCCGCGAGACGAGGATATAGCGACGGTATTGAGCTTCATTTCCTCTGCGGTGCTTTATCTACAACTTACCCCGTTCCGTTGCCAGATTTCAACAAGTCAAAAACACGGCGGAAGTATCCCGCATGCCTAGTAATCCTTGCAGGGACCCAGAAATTTTTCGACGTTGCCAGCTTTTCACATATGAGATTCTGTGTTTTGAAAGAAGCCTCGTTGCTTCTGGTTCCGATTGCCACACGCCGGCCAGTCCAAAACAAATGCTCGTCTGCAAGATAGGCCACTGAACGGCAAGATAGGCCACTGAACTGCAAGATAGGCCACTGAACGGCATCGTTTCTAAAACATCTTAGCTGGTGCTGCCGTCTAATGAAGGCTATGAGAAACTGAGCGTGTTTCATCCTTATTATCCTTATCAATGCTTGTACGCTGATCCTAAAACACCATGATCGTATCGGGTAACCGTTTTGATATCCAAGCCAAGCAGAAAGTTTTGTGTGGCGTAGGGCTGGGCTGTTAAGATCGGGCGTGCAAGAATAAGAATACCCACTGGCTGGCAGCGAGCTAGGAGGGCAAGTGCGAAGGGCACTTGGCACATTCATTGTGTTGGGATTCTGCGGATCAGCCACTTTTGACTTCACGCCGCGCTTCTAATTTCAAGACTCGGATGCTGGGGGCCAGGAATCAGGTCAATCTCTTGCACACATTTTAGCTGAAACTTCATCGAGTCATTTCCACCTCTGGTCCTTAATTGGTAAACCAACGGACTGTGCAAGCCGGCAGATTCTCGGAATCAAATTCAATATTTGTGTAGCCTCCTAACAAACATCCTTCACTGCACTGAT